AACCTAGGTATCTTTTTTTTGAAGAAAATTTTTTCAAAAGAGGTGTTTAAACAAATCCAAACAATTCAAAACTATGCTGGCAGATCACATCAACATATAAAACTACGATATTTTAACCGGGGTATTCTTAATTTTGGAGAAAATTTATTCAAAAGAGGGCTTTTGCTAAAGGTTGTTTCATACAACTACATAACGATAAATAAAATGACATCACTTCCGTAAGATGCCAAGACAAACGGTTGGTTTTTGGATCTTATTAAGTAATAAAACTATAAGTCAAAATAATCTGGCAACTAGATTTGCGTATGTTAGAATCCTGTTGACAACATACTCCATCTATTAATCATTTTAACTAAAATCTATTAATTAATTTAACAAATTTATTAAAATTAAGCAGGAAGCTTTTAATAATTATGTAATAATTTTACAAATGGTTGACTTCAATATGAATAAAAATAGTCTGTGCATTTCAAAATATTATATATATTTAATTCAAACTTTGAAAACAAGTTTGCATTATTACTAAAGACCCTATTAAATTTCTGAATATGTTATTATCTCAGAACCCAAGAATTTTTCAAAATATATTTATTACTTAAAAAGCTTCTGTTTCCTTGGCATCCTTAGGAAGAGATGTCATTGCGTTTGTTTATTGTTTTATTGTTATGTAGTTGAATAAAACAACCTTCAGCAAAATGCACTTGGAAAGATTCTCTTCAAAATGATCGGGTTAGAAGGGTTTTATAATCAATTAGATTTGATTAATTTTTAAATATCAATTCATTACGATTTAGTAAATATTTATTACTTAATTTTAATGATTTTTTAAATTATTATTGTCACAAAAACGACAATAGACAGAACATAACGATGCTTGTTTTTTTTGAATGTGCGTTTTGTCAAATGTGGTTCGCTATTATTATTCCACAATGGAATCATCTTGGTTCATTAATTATTCTTTTTATTAAATTAACAAAAATAAAATAGTATAGAATGCAATAAAAGACACACACACAAGTATATATATATATATATATATATATATATATATATATATATATATATATATATAAATAATGTCGTATGTATACAATTAGTGTTTTAAATGATCCTAAACAGAAATAATGGCTAGTTCCTATAAATTTATTAAATTTATCTTTATAGTTTTATATTTAGTGTTTTGTTGTGAAACTAAATTTTTTATAACAAAAGAAAGTTTAACAAATTCGAATAATTTAACTAATACAAAATATAAAACAGTTTATGATCAAAATTTAAATAATGAAATAGTAAAAGATTATTATTTTAATAATTTAAATAGCAAAATTGCTTCTAAATATAAAACACTTTACAATGAAAGTTTAAATAGTTTGTTTATTTTAAAAAATTATAACAAGCTCAAAAATTTAAATAAAACGATTTCTTTTGATTTTAAAAGTATTTTAAAAACAAATTCAATCGATAGAATAATGAAACCCAAAAAATATATATCAGGAATTAATAAAAGTATAAAAAAAATACAAACACCTGATTATTCACGAATTAAATTAATAAACAGACCAATACCACTAAGTTTTGCAGAGTCATTTCATAAACCATATTTCCAATATTTTGATCATTTACAAAAACTAGAACCCCGATCTGACCCTGCATCCAAATTTCTCCCTTTTCTACAGAAAATTATTAACAAATACATTCCTGAGCATGAATCCTTAACAATAATCTATAGTCCATACCCCACAGTGACCCTAAACTTAGACTCTGACTTTTTGATCAAGAATCTTTCAAAATTCCGAAAAATTCGGTCATGTCCTTATAAACGTCGATATGTCTATAACCATTTGTTCTTGAAATACTTAGACATCGACTTCGGGTCCTTTAGATCTCAAAATTGGACTCATGAGAACATTTTGGTGGTTTCTGACACCAAAAACTTGGCTGATATGATGTCAAGTCATTATATAAATATGAATGAAGTTTTTGGGAAGATTTTTGTCTTTGTGCTGGATGATGTGCAGCATGAGTTTAAACCAGGTTAGAACCCGGTTGGGTTGTGAAGAGATTATATTTTAGCTTCAATTTGATTTTTCAATTTTTCTTTCAGAGCCTCCACAGAAAGTCTGCAGATCCATAACAGACCTTTCGAAAACCTACGTCTACGACAACGTAGCAGCCTTCAACCCCAAACTAGTAGAAAATAAGAAGACCAACTCCTCATCTTCTGCAAGACATAACAAAGCCATGCCAGCGTCTATTCCTGAATTTATCCAAATTTTGCTGAAAAAATTGCACAAATACTGCAGCAAAGTTTTGGTTTTTACCCACACAAATTCTGAAGTAAATGTCTACGGAAAATTCAATAAATCCATTTGTTCGGAGGAATTTAGACTCTTGGATGTATGGTCTCATATGGAAGGTATGAAGAAGATGTTGTGACTTAGTTTAAAATTAGAAGATTCTTTTGAAGGCAATTTTCTGGTGTTGGGATTTGGAAACCGCGTTGTAGAATAAGGAGTAGTTTTAAGTACAAACATAAATGTTAGTTAAGGGGTTGTTTGGTTTTTATTTTTCGATTTTGAGATTTTTTGATAATATGAAAACTAAAAACCTTAGAATTATTTAATAAAAAATCATCTCAATATCTATTTTTTTGACGAAGTTATAGATGTGTTTGATCTATATGTAAATGTATGATCCCCTGAAACCGTTTTTTTCATTGCTCCACGAGCTATTGTATGCCAGCTGCTCTCTTTTTCATTATAATACCTCATGCACATGACCTTTTTAATGTGTCAGCATCTTTGAACACCATGGTGTATTTAGTACATTAAATTAAATGGTGTATTTAGTACATTATATTAAAAACTTTAAATACGTTATTCTCAAATTAACTTTTTTCAATGCGGTGCCACAAATTAAAAAAAAACTACAAGTCGGATCGACTTGCATTTTTTTTAATTTGTTCACCACTGCAATACCTAGTCCCCCTACTTCAAACAACTTGATGACATTACGCAAAAAATTTTTGCGAAGCTTCTCGCCCCAAAAAAGGCCTTCCTTGACACTTTTTTTTTAAATAGCTGCAATTTTTTTCCTTCTTGATTTTTTTTTATTTTGACTGAATTCAAACTTCTTCTTCAACGTAGTTTCTTTTTTTTGGTTTCAGGCGATGCGCAACGGATTTATCTGTGGCACCGCAAAAGAGATCGATTTTGCAAGGCCGACTTTGTCGCCCCCTGGTTAAAAAATGACAGCAAAAAAAAGAAAATTTTGTAATATTCTATGATTTTGTAATTTTTGTTTAAAAAAACCGCATGTCTCTATGATAAATACATTTCGAGAAAAATAAAAACAAATATCTTGCATTTTTTG